CGGAGTACCCCCTCCGTCATCGGCAGTCCAGGGCACTGTGTGTCTGAGTGGATCGCAACGCGATTTTGCGAACCCCACTCCACCACAGTTGAATACATTGATACATGTTACATGCCGAAGATGTTACAAGTCGGATACATTGATAGCATTCGAAAGGGCATTTTGTTACCTCACTCTCGTCCCAAGGACGTCAAATTGTGCAACACGTTTGCCATACTACATGAACGCAACCGCTAAAGTCTGCAGGATCTGCGACCGCGCCTGGCCGACATATCACTACATTCACAGAAACAGAAGACTTCTTCGACGTCCCAATGCCCCGCACGGATACACCGGAGGCCGCCAGGCCACCCACAGCGTATATATATCAGCACCAATAATCTAGCCATGCGTAGAGCACGGCAATCACCGAACCAATGTTGCCAGTCACAATTGGCACATCCCGAGACGCAAAACATACCACCGCTAGCCCTGCTACCGACGCAATAACGTACCGCCAGAACCGATAGTCACAGATGCCAATCTGCCCGTCGAAAAGCTGCTAGATCCACCCGACACTGACGCGACCCGCCGCTGTAGACAACGCGGCAGACACATCGCTGCTGCCCCGAGTGCTCGCCCTGTAGATACATGTCAAATACACATTCAGGCAACATGTCATTATACCAGTCACGTTCAAGTAACAAATATAAGATAATACACGAAAGCTACTCGATCCAAAGCTTGACAAACGCGAAACTTTCAAAAATTGTCCGTAAATATCTTACCGTGAGCTATGCGTGTTATCGTAATTGGTGCATGAACGGTACCTAAAATAGGTTGCTCAGTGCCTCGGTACCCATAGCCATCCAAGGTAGGTGTCCCTACATCTCGCGTAAGTACCAACTCCTCAGTGCCTTTTCTAAGGCTCTTTAATATATTGAATTAGCAATCCTATGTGTGGATACAGTTTCTAAAGTACTTGATCGTCTCACGAAATCCCTCTCAAGCATCATAATGCCGCAATCCGTAGTGGCTTGTTTAAAGGCTTCATTGTGCTCCTCTGCGCTTATTTATCAACTGGAGCGACATTCCTTAACAACAGAGAACAATATATTCACAATTGACCCTAACAACTCTGCTATAGGCTGTTATCATCGAGTTACTTCGTTAAAATGCGTGTGTGGGAGCTTAACACTATGTCTACGTGTCTCAAGAGGAAAAGATAATCGACCAAAAATCATAATAAGCCAAAACTTGAAACGTAGCATAGCCCGAGACCTTTAGAGTCAGTTTCACATTAAAAAATACTTTTCTGATTT